AAATACTTATTTTACCGAGGAATTTACCAATTAATTCATTAAAAATCCTACAATGTGATTTCCTGGATTCTTTCCCCCCATTCTGTCTCCCATAGTTGAAGTGTACCTAGGATGAAAATTACAGGCCTCTCATCTTTTTAAGTGGGAGAACTTGCACAATTTGTGGCTGACTAAATACTTTTTTGCCCCACTGTAAATAGAGTCTGCGTTGTGGCTGAGGAAAAGTGTCAGTGGGGGGGTCGGTCCTTGTTTATGAGGCCGTTAGCGGAGGGAAAGAAACTGTTCAGGTGGTGAGAGGTTTTGTTCCTGATGAAGCGCAGCCTCCTGCCAGAGGGGAGGGGGGTGAACAGTTTGTGTCCAGGGTGGGAGGGGTCGGCCACTATCTTCCCTGCCCGCCTCAGGGTCCTGGAGGCATGCAGGACGTGGAGGGATGGCAGATTGCAGCCGATTACCCTCTCGGTAGCGGGCCCTTATCCTTGGCTGTAGCTGCAGCGTACCAGATGGTGATGGAGGAAGTGAAGATGGACTCCATGATGGAGGTGTAGAAGTTCACCATCATCGTCTTTGGCATATATATATATCATAAAGGCACAATGCACAAGGCCTTCCTTGCCTTTCAGCTTCAGGAATGAAACCAATCCATAACCACTCTCGCTGGCATCGGAGAATTGGTGTTGCTGTGCAGTAGCAATATGTCCAAATCCCTCAGGCTTGACGCGTCTCCTTACTTGGGAGTGGGAAAGCTGTGATAGTTGGGTTAACCAGGTCCTCCAGCATTGTGCAAGCCTGTCAGGAATCTCCTCATCCCATCTAAGCCTTTCCTGCATAGTTGCTGCAGAAAGATTTTAGGTGGGAGCACAACTTCCCAGGAATCCTAGCGTGTCATAGATGGAGCTTTCTACTAACAAAACTCCTCTTCTTGTGACTGCTCTCTGGCTGATGTCGACTCTGAACTTGAAATAATCTGATTTTATGCATCGAAGGACGCCGAGTGCTCGTTCAACAGGCAGACCCTCTTTAGCCAGATCTAAGTATTTTACTTCCTTGGCTCTCTCATTCTCTGGAATAGCCTTAAAGAGGGCTCGGCTATTGTTTGTCCATTTCGTTAGAGGAAAACCCCCTTAGGCGCATAACGACATGAGGTCTCTGCTCAGGGCAATGGCTTCATAATCACTACTGACCGATTTGAACCAGTCATCGACATAAAAGTTCCTCGGAACTGTCTCTAAGGCTTGAGTTGATGCTGCAGTCCTGTTTTCTTCTACTGCTCTTCTTAAGGCAAAGTTAGCACAGCAGGCAGATGAAGTGGCGCCGAAAAGATGTACAACCATTTTGTACTCAACCTGAACCAACGCACAGGGGGGCCCTTTAGCGTCGACTTTCAACTATCAGGGAGTCCCATTGACTTGCATAGAGCTCCCTGAACGTCAGTAATAGACGAGTTGTGATCGCAGAGAAATGCTCTCCGCCGACCCATTCTCACAGCGTTTATCAACCTTTTTCTTACTCAATATCAGCCACACTTATACCTCATTCACACCAACGGTGTTTCGGGGCCGGTTCGGAGCTGGAGCTTGAAAAGCACCGGGTTTTCCTCTTCACACCGCAGCGGAGCAGCCTCTTAGCTCCGGAATCCGGTTCATTTCGAGCACCAACAAATTGTCCGGCCAGAGCAAAAGCACTGCATACGTTACGCTTACGTCGAGGCGGGGGCAGATCAACTCCTGAACAACAACAAAAAGCCGGCGTTTTATCCAGTTTGTACACAATGATGGAGAAACTTAACAAGCAGCAGTGGTCCACTGAAGAGACCAGCTACCTACTGGGAATCTGGTCTTCCGAAGAGGTACAGAGGAAGCTGGAGCACAATCGGCCATTGTTGTTGTTGTCGTTGTCAGCTGTTAGGGGTTTCCGTGCGGTTTGGCTTTATGAAGCAGGCACGCAAACGGTTACGTCATGACGCAAACGATGACGCAATGACGCAGCACCAGTCGGACTCTGGGCGGTGTGAAAAGAGCCGGAGCTAAACCGAAGAACCGGTTCTGAACCTGCAAAGCTCTAGCACGGAGCTTGAACCGGAGTTGCGTTGGTGTGAATGAGGTATTATTGAGTGTTTATTTATATTTATTTATTTGATGATAAATAACACATCCAATAAGAGCCAGGGGGTTAAAAAAAGACACAGAAGAATGAAAGAGGCATTAAGGAGCTGACTTAATACACATTTTGAAATATCACTATGAATCTTTTTAACACATTTTCCAGAACTGTATTTTTTTAAGAAAGAAAAAACTATTTTAATTAATTAATAAAACAAAAAAGGATGGCTTGCTACCTTTCCATTAAACAGCAGTGTATATGGTTTTACCCAAAACATTATTATATTAACCAAATCAGATATTGAAGATTCCATAATATCAATATAAAATTAAATGTGACATAATTTGAAAGCATGAATATCTGTTCATTTAAACAACCAATCTCTCACATTAGACTAACGTCATTTAGAAAAAAGGCATGAGAAAAATTATGTTTCAATGATTCAACAGAACATGGGTCTACTTCTAATTTAAATTCAGAAATAGGGGTAGATTTATGGATTTTAAAATTAGTCTATTTTACTTTAGGGAAAATAGGCCATTTTATAAAATAAGATTGAGCTTTTTCAGCAGTATAATGTATGTTGTTAAGGGTCCCATGTCATGCTTTTCTGGTTATTACCCGTCCCCTTGTTGTTATGAAGGTTGTTCTGCATGTAAACGGTCTGCAGAGTCACAAACCCTCAAAGTACACCCTGTAGCGAGTACAACTCTAACACAGAAAGACCTGTCTGTGCTGCCCCAGAACGCCTCTTTGGACATTTCTCTTTTTCCATTGTTTGCTTCCTGGGTTCTGTGACGTGTGAACACCCAAATCAACAACAAATGACCGGATTGGCCCAAATGGACCAATCCGCGGAGCACCTCACACACCAGGATCCCTTGGCTAACTAACAGGGGCCGTATCTCATTTCTGGAATTTCCCCTCCTCGACTCCTCGGTCCTCCGGTAGTGACTTACTATGTGGGCCATAATAAGAAGTGAGAAATTGTCGTTTCCTTGGACCTTGATGTGAAGTTAAGATTTTTGACAAGCTTTAGGTATTGCAATTTCACACGTGTACAAAAGTAGCTTAATTAATTAAATGTAAGCGATGTGATGCAAGTAGCTCTTGGTCACTTTCATTTTTTCAAAGTAGCTCTCAGATGAAGAAAGGTTGGAGACCCCTGCTTTAAACTATTCAAAGATTGTTTAAAAAACATTCATCTTAGAATGAATTTCCATCAAGTTACCGGTATTGTCCATGAACAGCTTAACTTCATTCAGTTTAGCAGTGAGTTACTTCTCCCTACATTGTATTGCTGCAGCCGCTACTCCATGGCCTTTTCTGTAGGTTGGACTGCCCTCTTGTGGGCGTTGTCCATAATCGCTCCGACATTATTTAGCCTGTTCTATAAACCAGGGGTTCCCAACCTTTATTGTGCAAAGGACCGGCAGATACAATACAATAAAATCGTGGACCGGTTGTCAATTTTAACTGATTGCCGTTGTTGGACACACACAAACACAACGAACATACACACACACAGCGGAGCTGAGCAGAGCACATACACATCGTGCGCCTTTGTGACCGGACATTTCCTTCATACAACGAGTAATAGGGGGAATAATCGGGCCGTTCGATGTGTGTGTGTGTGTGTAGAGGTGTGTGTGGTTGAAACGTAGCAGCCTGCAGTGGGGAACACAGTGAAGGTGGTGTGTACGCGCTGGTGCTGCACTTCTCAGAGGCTGCCTCCTGATGCTGAAGCCATTTCATGAAGTGAAGGAGGTCTTACAAATAAAAAAATAGCTCTACATCCCTGGCCGCAATGTCCTTAAAATGAAGTCCGAGTTCGAAATATATCTCGAATAATGTATGCACTGCCATTTCCCCACATAAACATAACATGAAATAATATGACTGGTATAGGTGCGAACATTTAAAAATAATTGAATTTTTTTGTTGTTGTTGCAAATATTACGATAAACTCAGCTATTTCGCGGCCCGGCAGTAACACCTCCGCAGCCCGGTACCGGTCCGCGGACCTGTACCGGGCTGCGGACCCCCTGCTATAAACCACACAGCAACAGCAGTTTTATCCAGTGGCTCGAACTCCAACGGTAAGGCATTTACAATAGCGTTACAGCTTGCAGTCAATGTCCACAGCGCAAATAATAATCCAAATTGTCCTTTGTAGGTTCCCACACACTCCTAATGCTTATGTCCTTGTCGAAAGCTTTGGACTTAGTCCATGCACTTATTTCTCATGCTCTGACATAGCATCCAAATGGGGAAATCCATGATTCCTTCTTGACACTCGGGCCAAACATCCACAGAAGAAGCTTAAAAAAACAATGTCTGCTTTTAGGGCGAGTTTTTTTACTTGTTAGCGGCAAAAATCATACACAAATAAAACTGAAAATTGACTAAAAGGTTAAACTGCCGCTAAAGCACCAGATAGCGAATCTTACGGATGGGAGTGATCCAAGTCCAGACAAGAATATCCTTTCGTGCATTTATTTTCATGATTTGATATCATCAAACAAAGTGCATTTAACCATTCTCCTGTAACTTGCCATTTGCCTATCCTCAGGCTTCCTCATGCTTTTCCCAGTGGTAAAAAAACCATGTGCTTACATGTGCTCTAATCCCACCACCACCTGGCTCCAATATATATGATTACCCCAGGTGCCCCAATTACCCAGCGCCCAAAGATGCCTTCAAAATAAAGCCATCAATAATTACCATAACAACATAAATTGCCATAATGGCTCTTACAGGGAGGCTGAACGTTGGTATTGAGCTTACATGTTTGTGGGGTTGTGTGTTGTGGATGCATGTGCGTACATAGTCACAGACAATATTTACATGTGCACTGTAAAATGTGAATCCAAATAAACTATAAGTGTATGAGGACTCACTGGCAAACACAGACACGTTGTCCTGGTAGGCCTGGTTCAGGGTGTAGTTGACGATGCTGTCCTCGTTGGGAAAGCCCTTGAAGACATCAACACTAACCTGGAAGCATAGGGAAAAATATCCTTTGACAACAGAAATGAACAAATCAAAACCTTTAAAACCATCATAATGAAGGACTGCAACATCTGCTTTGCTAGAATCAGAAACCTCTCCCTCTCTTTCTGCCTCAGTCATGTGAGAACATCACATGCAGCTGGCCTGTTTTGTTGGGAGTCAGAGTTCTTCACTGAACTGACCTTAGACATGAAGCGTGTCCAGCCGCAGGCAGCGTTGTCGATGGTGTCCATCTGCTCCAGCAGGATGGAGATGTTCGGAAGGCTGTAGTTTCCCTCCATCAGACCCTGCATTAGCTCACTGTCTGTGCTATTCAACAGCTCAGGGTGCTGCTGCAGCTCTGAGGACAGCTGGGGAGAATAGAAGGAGGAGGAACAGAGACTAATGTGTGTGCAACGTTACATGATTTCTGACTTAAGTCTAATTTCTCGGAAAATATCAACTCAATGTGAAATTATCAATGCACATTATTTCTTTTACATCATGATAGTACTGCATCTTTGATTTTGAAAGATGCCTAGATTCTACCTGCTGCAGCCACACCAACTGGTTGTGCAGACGACCCTCCTCCAGAAAAGTCCTGAGCTGGGCGGAGATGTTGAGCCAGACCCGGGTGTAGTGTGTCACGTTTCCAATAAAAGCAAAGGTCTCATTTGCCTACAGTAAGTGCAAACAGTTAATACATGTTAAAAAAAAACATTTGTATGAATTCATCTATGTATGTATGTACTTTTGCTTTGGTAGTGCTACAGTCACGCTGCAAATAACATTTGATTCTGTTGATCCTTAAAAAAAAGGAGAAAATAAAACAACAAAGGCTAGCTCCATTGCATAACCCTGAAAACTGAAGCAAAACTCGAAAGGATATGGCATTCCACTAAGCAGCAAGAAATGCGTTTACTTATAGGCATATTATCATTTCTAACATTTGGACTGTCTCTGTTGTAAATGTATTATCCTTTATTTAAACACGACACCTATTGCACCTATTGTCCGTCCTGGGAGAGGGACCCTCCTCTGATGTTTCTCCCCATAAACTGTGGGGATTATTATGGAGTTTTTCCTTGTTACTGCGAGGGTCTCAGGACTGAGGGTGAGGTTTTCTGTATACTCTGTAAAGCCCCCTGAGAGAAATGTGTAATTTGTGATATTAGGCTATATAAATAAAATGCAATTGATGGATTTATTTGATTGTCTGACTTTCATACCATAAGTAAGTAGATATGTTTTTTTAGCTCTTTCTGCTGGATGTATGAATATGACACTTTTACCAGGTGAAAACATTTCAGTGCCACAGCCTTCTCAGAGTGAATAATGTGAACACCTAGACTACTTGCCTTCTGAATCACTTTATCCACTTGCGATCCAATGGGGGAGTAGAGGATCTTGGGATTTGTCGTCATCAAATGAACCAGTAGTCCCAGATTCCTCTGCTCTTTACTGGTGAATCCCAGAGAACTCATGTTCCCCTGCTTTAGAGCCTCCGGCTCGATGATCCTGCAACCAGAGCCGCAGGTTAAAGGCAATTAACTGCCAAGTCACAGTCCTTGGGAATTAGATTTGCAGTTTATATATTATCCATCACAGGTTGTTATATATTGAAAATGGACTGCGTACAGCTGCAAAGATAGTATTTTGAAAATGAATGCTTAGGAGATTCCATTAAATGCAACAATGATACAAACACGAAATAAATATAATATAAGAAATTAGGAAAAGGCACTGTTAAAGACTGAACTAGCCCTAACCCACTAGTAAGACAATAATTGTAGTTTACTAAGCTTTGAGCTTTAGCAATTACTTCAACAGCTGAAATCACACACCTCACATGTTATATCTTTATAAACAAGACCAATTCAGGCTCTTTTTAGATCAAGTTGTGTAACCTGTGACATGGCAGATTAATTGTTCCACAGACTTGTCCGAAAAGCTGCCATAAAAAAAACGTTGGAAATGTAAAAAAAACTATTTTTGATGCCAATCTGTAAAAGAGCAAAAACTATTTTCAACCATAATCACCTCCACTGCTCTTATTTCATGGAATACATGCTCTTTACTTCTGGTAGAAACTGATGCTCTTGTAGAATCAACAGTCACTCTTTAGGAGGACGGCTGCATCTAAGGTCAAACACCGACCCTGCAGCAGCTCCTTACAGGGGACCTGACACTTGCTAGTGAGGCCATATTGGAGCGAAATATAATAATATTAATTTTATATAGTTTTGCATTCCTATGGCAGGGCTAAACTGTTAAGCCATCTTAAAATCAGAATCAGAAATTCTTAGTAAAGCAATTGCCATTCAATGTTGACAACTATGTAGATCCTAGCAGTCTTATTGTTTACAGTCACCTTTAAACAAATAATAAACCATGTTTTAATCAAACAGAATCATATTTTGAATGATAAAGACAATACTCGCAGAAGGATTTGCTGTGTTCAAACTGACCCTGCTGTGCGATTGGTCCCCTGCTCTCACCTGTTGTGCCCACACAGGATGGGCTGCAGTCCGGCCCACAGCTGCACAAAGGCTGAAAACTGAGAGTGAGGGTTCTCTGCTTCCTCCTTTCCTTTCCTTCCTCCTGTTCCTCCACCTTCCTCTGCACCTCCACCCCCCTCTTCTCCAGGGATGTCAGTTGTGTTTGGGCCCCATGTGGTAGCGTTAAGGGGCCAAGTCATGTTTGTGGGGGAGGCTGGAGTTCGACCAGCGCAGGCTCCTTTGGGCAGCAGGCGGGCCAGGCCAGAGAGCAGGTCCACGTCCTTCAGAAGCCTCTCCATATCAGCCAGGTCCTTCAGCAAGGCCTTGAGGTCGGCCTGAGAGAGGGGGGCCACAGAGCGGGGCCGCTCCAGCTGGAGCTGGGGGGCAAGAGGGGAAGACAGGAAGACATGATGGAGGGATGGAGCTGGGTAGCAAATATAATATGGTACAAACTGGCTGCTGTTAGTGAGGCTAACTGTCTACTTTAAAGATACCAATAATATTGTACAAGTTGTTAAAAAACAAAAGTTCTTGACATCTTTCCATTTCAAGCCTCTTCAAGTTGCACACGAAATGCTGTCGAAGAGTTTGTCGTTTCAAATCAAGACAGAGGCACAGCAAAACCATTGACAACCTGGTCTCTATTCTTCCATGTTTTTGTATTGACATTTTTGGAAGAGTATTGAGGCTGAGTGCTGCTCAACAGGCTGCCATCAATGTCCACCACTAAAATAATTAGTTTGTTGTTGTTAAAGAGAAACGTTTTATTTCTCTGCCGTCGAAGCCTTTCAGTGACAAAGCACTATTAGTTACCGTACATTGACAATGAGAGATTAGGTGGCAGATGTTCAGCGGTCCCTCTGTACCTTCTCTCTGACCCGCTGGGTGTTGATCTGCTCTCTCAGCTCCAGGCTCAGCAGTCTGAAGCGCTCTGCTCTTTGACCCTCCCCCCCGCCGCACACTGCTCTGAGGTAGGCCTGCAGCACCGGTCGCTGCTTCTCTGGCACCATCAGGATGGTACTGAGCTCACTAGCCCCGCCCTCCCCACAGGTGAGGACCTCCAACATGGCCCCAGTCAGAAGAGCCCCCTGTGGAAGATAGAATTAATTTATTTGACTTCAGCATCTACAACGCATGCTAATAATTATCCATGATTAATCATAATTTATCAAACATTTGAAATACTAGTATTTACTTGTATAATGCGAGAAAATTAATAAATACATGTGTGTCGTAATAAAGAAATGCATTCAAACTGCTAAGAGGAATCAGAGCGTTTTATCTCACCTCAGTTAGGATGATTTATGAATTATTGGCTTGAAGTCAGACCATTTTCCAACAGTTAGCTAAAGCATGGACAAATCTGCTGCTGCTGTGATTCCCCCCTGTATAATGGGCTCTACACAGGACTTGTGTTTGTAGTATTCACGCTGCAGCTCAATCCTTCCTACAGTGGAGACTCTGTCTGCTGTCTCCCTCTGCAACTTCAGGAAGCTGGAGCATGGTTCAGTAAAATTCCTCTGTTTTCACCCCAGCTAAAGAGCGAGTGCAGATCATGAGTCATGGATCAGTTTTGCCGTTACAGTGAGGTAGTGAAGGTTCTTACTGATGTCCGAGGGCAGTGTAACACATGTGGCTCTGCCAGTTTCTCCACCCTATCTTTTACACTGCAATGCGATTCATGGTGAACATCAGCTCTTAATTAATTAATTAAGTAATTGCAGGCATTTAAAAACTGTTTTCCTCACTTAACCAGAGAAGTGCACAACCGGACAGTCCATTTCTTAGAGTTGCTGTCTTTTTTCATGAGCATGTGATCTTATGTCAGTCAGAAGATGAAATGCCTTTCCTGTTTTTATGTAGGACTAGTTTGTTTTGAGAAATTACTCGATCTCAGGTCATGGGGAGTATTCCTTTGTATCGTAGGGTATGTCAAAAGGGAAAAGCAGAAGGAAAGCTGAAGCCGTAAAGAGATAGGCTGGGCCCAACCTTGGTCTAAATGTGTGTCTTAGTATTGCAGAGTTCACACACAAAGTGACATAAATAGTTTTTGTTGAGGCATTTAAGAAAGTTCAAACCCTACTTTTACTCCTCTACAATGCACTAAAATGGTCCAACATGTGTGGGGAAAGGACAGGAAATTATAATCCGACGAGCAGTTAATCTGAAGTATACTAAAGCTGTTTTTGTGACTGTACATTGCTGGATAACAATTCAATTACAGTATATAATTAATATAACATGCTGTCTTAGGCCTACTGGTGCAGTCCCAGCTCAAGACCGTGTCTCTGAAACATACAGGTTGACAAATACTTGTCCATATGTATTGCTCTTTGATATGTAATACATAGTGATAAAGACATTCTGTATAGACAGTCTCATGAAGGTATGTGGAAAAATCGTTGTGCAAAGTTCTTCACAAATTCTTCTACAGATTTCTTTTTGCAGATATGTGAAATGACTTAAATATGTTATGGAGGCAGAGTGAAGGATTTAAATTGTCTTCATTTGAATAAGGGAACACTTAGGGGATTATCATCTCTTCTTAAACTATTTAGACTCACTGAGTCTGCATCTCACTGTCTGCTATCTCGACCAGATAGGACTCTCTGCTGATTCAGAAACCTCTGTAAGTTCTATTTTTGTTTCTAGACCTCTCTGTTTCATTCACTCTACTCTGTATAACTGTTCTGTAGTTATTCTAGCTAAAATTGTGTTTTGAAATCTCCGAACAGCTAAATTACCTGTTTTTCAGGCAGAAATCGGGGTAACTTATTTTTTCAGAAATCTTAAAAACTGAAACATTTGCTTCTTAGGGTTCACTTTGACTAGGGTTCACTTTGAATAAACAATTGTACAAATACTAAGTGCTTTACTAGTGGTAATTGTAGTAGGGCTATCTTAAAACCTCTGTAACAAGGGTTTAGTCTGACATTGGTCTGTAAAAAGTGCATTACAATAGGCCTGAAGGCTCAGGTGTGAAGTGAGACAGTTTCAGCTGGTGCCCATCAGCTGCAGAGAGTTAACTAATTAAGGCCCCGGCCACACGAGGACGAAAACGGTCGTTTGCGTTACTGTTTAGTGTCATATAGACCGTTCGGCCACACGAGGACGACCGAATACGGCACTAAACGACTGCGGAAACGATAACGGGTCCAAAGGTGGATAGAACGGCATAAGTAAGGCTCTGGGGGGCCAACGGCTCCGTGTGTGCCCCGTATACGATCATTTTCTGATAATGATGAGGCAATAGCCCCGCCTCTCCCCACCTCTGCTGCTTACCCCCGCGTCAAAGTAAACTGCACACTGAATTCAGATTATTTATCTTTCTCTCGATATTCTTTCACACACAGTGACGTCACGAGCTACCCACAATGCAACGCGCGCCATATATCTATATAGAAATACGCCATTTTCCTGGAGGTGCTAATATCCTGGAGGTACTAATATAAACAGCTAGCTTACGTAGCCAGGCAGAGCGCACTAGGTTTTTTTTCTGAATTAACGACCGAAGAAATTGCTGCATGTCTTCGGATTACATCTCTGGACTTGAGGGGTGTGCTCTAGGTCGTTACCAGCGTAAACTAGAGCTGTGTGGGTTATCCGATTGCCCTTACAGACTGCCTGCAGATGTATGGAAAAACGACTCTCGAAAGTGGCCTTCGGTTGATTTTGGCAGCATCTACGTCTATCTTCTAGAAACACCAGGTGAATACCCCACTTGTCACAATAATATTATCATGCCAATGCATATATGTGGTATTTTAGAGTTGACTAGATATTGATTAAGGCAATAGACTATGATATTCTGCTTGCACCTCGTGTGAAATGGTGGATACCGGAAGTACGGTGTCGCCCTCGGCCCAAAACCCGTATGTGTGTGTGAAAGAATGGACCTAAACGCGAGTGAAGTCTAATCTGACAGAACGGAGACACCTCTCAAACTACCTAAACTAGTTATAAATATGTTTATTTTTACTGTCGGCCGGGTCACTCATTACTGGATCAGCTGCTGCATGAGACACTGACGCTGTCCGAAGAGAGGGAGGAAAAAGAGAGGCTCCATGTATTTTATTATTATATTATATAGATTCGTTATTCATTTGTTTTGAAGCTCAATAAATAACAAAGAACACCTTTGACCGGCACTTTTTTGTCCGGAAGATTTAAACTTTAATACACGTTGACTGGCGAAAAACTCGGTTCCCTCGGCCCCCACCGCGGAGAATAAACAGAAGGGCAACCATGACAACCATGCTTCTTCGCTGCTTTTGTGGAGGAAGTTACAGCGTCACGTACAGGCTCCTGCATATGTACTGCAGCTTCTCCAGCGGTTGGAGCTAAATGGAGCGGTCTCGTGTGAGCAGACACTATCCGGTGAATATTGCGTGTGGACGGAAGCTTTTTTGCGATTGCGTCTGCGTTAATCCTATGCGTTTAGCCGTTTTCGTCCTTGTGTGGCCGGGGCCTAAAGGGGCGTAGGCCCACAGCTGTGACAACTCAGCACTCAGGACTAGTGTCCATTTTAGGTAGCACTTTTCTGGAGCGTCGGACAGATGAAGACTGACAAAGACAATAGAGTCCTGTTGGAGTAAGACTGACAAAGACAATAGAGTCCTGTTGGAGTAAGACTGACAAAGACAATAAAGTTATGTGTGAGTTACGAGGGAGGCAAATCCTACTTTAAATTAGCTAAGTATCGCTGGTGTTTTTATCCACTCTTGCTAAAAAACATGTGTATATTCTCCATTCCTGTTCATGTGTCCTCTCACAATTATCACTGGCCCCGTGCATCTCGTAATAGTTGTAACCAGCCTGCTCTCGTCTATCCCACATGCTCCACTGAGATCCAACATCTAGTTTCAGGGGGCCTGTGGAACTGCCAGTCAGCTGTTCCTAAGGCTGACTTCATCTCTTCCCTGCAGTCTCTGGATTTCCTTGCTCTCACTGAGACCTGGATTACTCCATCAAACACATCCACCCCAGCAGCTCTCTCCACAGCATATTCTTTCTCCCATACACCCAGACCCACTGGCAGAGGAGGTGGCACTGGTCTCCCGCTCTCTCCCAAATGGAGCTTTTCCCTCTTCAAGCTACCTAACTTCACTCCTTCCACCTTTGAATTCCATGCCATCACAGTAACCCATCCTATACAATTAACCATTGTTGTTCTCTACCGTCCACCAGGCGCCTTGGGGGACTTCTTGGAGAAATTAGATCATCTCCTCTCACACATCCCTGAAACTGGCCCTCCCGCTGTACTTCTCGGAGACTTCAACCTCCAGACGGGGAAGATAGACGAACTAACATCTCTATTAACCGCCTTTGCTTTCTCACTGTCTTCGTCCCCACCAACTCATAAAGCTGGCAATGTCCTTGATCTCATATTCTCAAGGAACTGCACGGCTTCTAACCTCTCTGTAAACCCGCTCCACACATCCGATCACTTCTTCATTTCATTCTCTCTACCCCTTTCCAAACATAACAAACTAATCTCTTCTCATCCTGCACCTGTCCGCCGTAACCTTCGTTCCCTCTCCCCCTCTACCTTTGCCTCATCGGTGCTCTCAGCCCTCCCTTCCTCTGACTTGTTCCAACTCCTACCTCCAAACTCTGCTGCAGAAACTCTCCTCTCTACTCTCTCATCCTCTCTGGACTCTCTCTGTCCTCTCACATCTCGGCAGGCTCGTCTGTCCCCTCCTGCTCCCTGGCTAAATGACACACTGCGTGCTAATAGAACCATCCTTCGGGCAACTGTGCGGAAACGGTGGAAATCCAAACACCATGACGACCTCCTAACCTATCAGGCTCTCCTCTCCTCTTTTTCTGCTTCGATCTCTCAGGCAAAAAGCACTTTCTTTCAAGATAAGATCCAATCTTCCTATTCCAATCCCAAAAAACTATTTTCCATCTTCTCCTCCCTCCTGGACCCCCCCAAAGCCCCTCCCCCCTCCTCACTTCTGTCAAGCGACTTCGTTATCTACTTTGAAAAAAAGGTTGATGATATTCGCTCTTCTTTTTCTGACTCACCTTTACTCACCGCTGGGTCACCAGACCCTCCTTCCACCAACACACTGACCTCCTTTTCCCCTCTCTCTCCAAGTGAGGTTCTTACCCTCATTACCTCTGCCCGCCCTACCACCTGTCCTCTGGACCCTATCCCTTCAAACCTCCTTCAGACTATCGCTCCTGATATTCTACCGTTTCTCACCCATTTCATCAACACTTCTCTAACTTCTGGTCACTTTCCAAACAGTCTCAAGGAGGCAAGAGTAAACCCTCTCCTAAAGAAACCCACTCTCAACCCGTCTGATGTTATAAACTACAGGCCTGTCTCTCTCCTCCCGTTCCTGTCTAAAACACTTGAGGCGCGCGGTCTTTAAACATCTCTCCTGTTATCTCCATCAGAACAACCTTCTGGATCCGCACCAGTCTGGTTTCAAGGCAGGTCACTCCACAGAAACTGCCCTCCTTGCTGTCTCTGAGGAACTGCACACGGCTAAAGCAGCCTCCCTCTCCTCTGTCATCATCCTTCTGGACCAGTCTGCTGCATTCAACACGGTGAACCATCAGATCCTCCTTCGCACTCTCCAAGAACTTGGAGTTTCAGGCTCTGCACTTTCCCTCCTCACCTCATACCTAGAAGACCGCACCTACAGGGTAACTTGGAGAGGGTCCGAGTCCGACCCTTGTCAATTAACTACAGGGGTCCCTCAGGGCTCTGTCCCCTCCTCTTCTCACTGTACACAAACTCGCTCGGATCAGTCATTAGCCCGCATGGTTTTTCTTACCACTGCTACGCTGACGACACCCAATTGATTCTGTCCTTTTCCCGCTCAGAGACCCAGGTCGTTGCACGCATCTCTGCTTGTCTAGCTGACATCTCTCAGTGGATGTCTGCTCACCACCTCAAGCTCAACTTTGACAAGACTGAGCTGCTTTTTCTTCCGGGAAAAGAGTGTCCCACTCTTGACCTAACAATCAACATCGGCACCTCTGTTGTTTCCCCGACTCAGACTGCAAGGAATCTGGGTGTGACCCTAGATAACAACCTGTCCTTCACTGCAAACATCGCTGCTACAACCCGTTGCTGCAGATACACGCTTTACAACATCAGGAAGATGCGTCCCCAGCTGACCCAGAAAGTGACGCAGCTTCTGGTCCAGGCTCTCGTCATCTCACGCCTAGACTACTGCAACTCCCTCCTGGCTGGTCTACCTGCATGTGCCATCCGACCTCTGCAGCTCATCCAGAATGCAGCGGCTCGTCTGGTCTTCAACCTTCCTAAATGTTCCCACACCACTCCGCTCCTCCGCTCCCTCCACTGGCTTCCGGTAACTGCTAGAATCCACTTCAAGACACTGGTACCACCGTACCATGCTGCGAATGGATCTGGCCCTTCCTACATCCAGGACATGGTTAAACCGTACACCCCAGCACATGCACTCCGCTCTGCATCAGCCAAACAGGTCGCTGCACCCTCGCTGCGAGGGGGACCCAAGTTCCCATCAACAAAAACACGTGGGTTTGCTATCCTGGCTCCAAAATGGTGGAATGAGCTCCCCATTGAAATCAGGACAGCAGAAAGCTTACATACCTTCCGGGGTAGACTGAAAAGTCATCTCTTTCGACTCCACTTCGAGCAATACAATTACTAATAAAGGACTTATATACTAATAAAGGACTGGCTTATCTAAAGCCAGTTGAGTAGCACTTGAAATGTTTTGGCTCTATGAAACCTGATGTACTTATATGATTCTGTTTTCTTCAAGTTTGTATCTTCTTGGTCGAATGCACTTATTGTAAGTCGCTTTGGATAAAAGCGTCAGCTAAATGCAATGTAATGTAATATGGTTGAAGAAAATAAACCACTGCCATGATTATACATTTTAGATATGCTAACCAAAATTCATCATAACGGCACACCTTTTCTTCCAAATGGCACTTATATTAATTGTATCCTGCTATGAAAAGGAAGGGTAAGTATGATTTTATTAAAGTTATATCGCGCAGGGGATTTTGCTCTCAGACTCTCCTGTTAGTATTGAAGACGGCACATAGTCCTGTGGGCTAGCAGAAGTCTTATTACAAGGAATCACTGAAAACCTCAAAACCTGAAGTGCAATGTAAGCCGTGGCTGGATTAGCTTGAGTCACACCTCCAGCTCCTCCAGGGCCTGTTGGTCAGTGCTCTGGTTTCCTGGGACCTCACTGAGGCCTAACGCCCGAGACATGAGCCGGAGCAGAGCCGGCCGCTGGCCTGCTTTGGTTGGGTCACGTAAGGCTTTGTGTATCAGACCTCCATCCAGACTGTGCACATCTCCCAGCAGCTTTTCCTAGAGAAGGAGGAGAGGAGATGCAAGAGAGATACTTTTTAGGGGATGAGAAGTGTGTTCAATAAAAACAATTATAATAAAAAAACAAAATAATAGCTGACAAAATAATATATTCCATCACTGAGCTGTGAGTCTTTGGGCATTAAATAAGTGTCCAAAGTATCTTATCAGCAAAAGCGGAAGAAACATGCAACACATGCTTTACATTACAATTGTCACACTTTCAGGTTTGTAGCCTTTATTTATCCAGGTAAAAAATCCCATTGAGATCAACGATCTCCTTTACAAGGGAGACCTGCCGCACATTGGTTACACATGTAACAGAAAACAAAAAGGACACATACAACATAATGACAGGGGTACAATTTACAAACTTATTCACAAAGACAGGTACCAGGAGTATCAAAAATCATTTCATCCAGCTGTGCTTTAAAATTATGCAGGGGAACCAAAATCTTCATTTTCAAAATGTTTTGCAGAGTGTTCCAAGCTAGAGGGGCTGCGCATATAAAAGTTTTAGTGCCTAAAATAGTCTTAGCACTTGGTACATGTAATAAAAACACATCCTGGGATCTTAGGCAATAGCTACCTGCGACTCTCTGTGATATCAGTGAGCAGATGTAAGGCGGTAGTTTACCCAGCATGGCTTTATAAATGAACATGTACCAATGACTGAGCCTCCGTACAGTAAGTGATGGCAGACTTGCCTTGGCATACAGGGTACAGTGATGAGTAAGTGCTTTACAGTTTGTAACAAATCTCAGCGCACTGTGATAGGCGGCATCTAACTTGATCAGGCAATGGGCAGATGCATTCATATACAACAAATCACCATAGTCCAGCACAGGTAAAAAGGTCACAGAGACTAGCCTTTTCCTGGCCTCAAGTGAGAAACAGGACTTATTTCTGAAAAAGAAACCTAGCCTAACCCTCAGCTTTCTAAGCAAATGATTGACCTGAGGTTTAAAAGTAAGACAATCATCAAGCCAGATAGGTATTTATAACAGGTAACCACTTCAAGTACTTTTCCTTGCGTAGTAACAATATCCAAAGTTTTTAGGTTTTTGAAAAGAGCATTACCTTGGTTTTATCCACATTTAAAAGAAGCTTACACTCAGAGAGCTGCATCTGAACAATATTAAAAACAGCCTGTAATTTAACAACAGCCTCCTTAATGGAGGGACCTGCACAATACATCACGGTATCATCAGCATAAAAATGTGAAGTTGCTTCATCCACATTTTGACCTAAACTGTTGATAATAGATGGAGAATAAAAGTGGACCTAAAACACCATTTGTAATGTTTAACCACTCAGAAGTGAGCCCATCAAAATGAACACACATTGGGACCTTTCAGAAAGGTAGTTCACAAACCACCCCACTGCATGGCTGGATAAGCCAATACTGGCCAGCCTCTGCTTCAGAATATGATGGGAGACGGTATTGAAAGCTTTGGAAAGATCAATAAACGGAGCTGCACAACTCTGCTTATTGTCTATGTACTGTAGCGGCCAAAATCCTATAGAACTAAAACAGCCGCCGAGGCACTAGTTAGCGGCAATGATCATCCAAGTCCAGACAAGAACCTCCATTTGTGCATTTTATTCCAATAATAAAGAACAGGTTTCCTAGAGCTCTTTCCTTAAGCCGTTCCTATGGCTTTCCCTTGTGTAGCTTGAAACACCCTGGTAAAAAAAACCTTTTGCCTACTAGTGCTTTGGCTCCCACCACCCACCTGTCTCCAATATATACAATTACACCAGGTGCTCTAATCACCCAGTGCCCAAAACATGCCTTCAAAATAAAAGCATAGAAACTACTTTAACTTATGACGCTAACTAAGAATACATATAAATAAATGATAATAATAAACACTATAAACAGCAAGAAAATAAATGTTAAACTATTAAATAATATAAAGAGATATATATATATATAGCTCCAACAGTCTAAGATATTAGCAAAATCATTCACCACTTTCATTGTCGGAGTGATGGTGCTATGTTGCTTTCTGAAACCTGACTGATGTTTACATAGTAGGTTATTGTTACTTAAAAAGACCTTTACCTGCTCGCTCACTCACTAGGCTTTCAAGAACCTTGGCCAGAACTGACAATTTAGAGATGGGCCTATAATTATTTAATAAAGTAGCCTGCCCACCTTTTAGTAGAGGAAGGACATAAGCTGACTTCCATATTTTTGGAATTGTGTTCGTGCTGAGGGAGAGGTTAAAAGGAGAAGTAAGAGATGGTGCAATAAAATCTGCAGCTATCTTTAAAAAGAAAGGTTCTACGTTGTCCAGACCAGCTGGTTTCTTAGTATCTAACTTGGTTAACGCTTCATCTCCTCTCGTCTGGACTACTGCAATGGAGTTCTGTTCGGGGTCACCAGCAAAGCCCTGGACAGGCTCCAGTACGTCCAGAACTCTGCAGCCAGGCTCCTCACCCACACTAAGCCCTGGCAACACATTACCCCTACCCTCATCCACCTTCACTGGCTCCCGGTCAAGTCACGCATCCAGTACAAACTCCTCCTGCTAACTTACAAATCTCTCCACTCCCTAGCCCCTCCATACATCTCTGACCTCCTTCAGCCCTACACCCCCTCTCGTCACCTGCGGTCCTCTGACAAAGGGCTGCTCTCCATCCAGCGCTCCAAGCTGAAAACATTTGGCAACAGAGCCTTCAGTGTCGCAGCCCCCACCCTCTGGAATTCTCTCCCCTCTGCAATCAGGAATGCAGACACTCTGGACACCTTCAAAAAACACCTCAAACACCATCTGTTCACTCCCCTTTGGTCTCAACTAATATATAGTACTCAGCAACCTGTTCCTGTTTTGTTTTCTTCAGCCTATGTATCTGTATGATTATTATTACCTTTTGTTTTGTTACTTCCCATTGTAAAGCGTCCTTGGGTTTCGTGAAAGGCGCTATATAAATTGAAATTATTATTATTATTATTATGAACGGCTTCAATAGAAAAAGGAGAAAAACTGAAAGGGTTTTCCAAACCACGTTTTTCAGAGTCACAGACTGTGGTGTACGCAGTAGCAGAGTTAGAAACAGAATCAAACAGAGAGCCACAGGACGCAAAATGCTCATTAAAACAATTTAACATAATAGCCCTGTCCGATATAGTGCCAGATGCTGTGGTAAGGAGGCTCATTACGGATTTCACCGGTGGATATCGATTGTATGGCTTTCCAAAAATGTTCTAGGATTATTCAGGTTCTTTGTGGTAACTGACAGATAATACTTAGACTTAGCACTTTTTATTTGTGATGTGAAGCTATTTCTTAGCTGCCTAAAACGCAGCCATTCTACCTCTGAGCCTGATTTCCTAGCCTTGTTACTCTCATGTAGGAGACTGGACAGTTCAGCAGAAAACCAAGGATTGTCTCGTCCCTTCACTCTAAATCAGGGTTTCTCAAAGTGCGGCCTCAAAGTGCGAAACATTTCCGAGGGCCCTCAGAAATGTTTCTGGCGGCCCGCGATAGTTAATGTGACACGCTGAAATGCATGCGTTATATTTGAATCCTCCATGGTTGTATCTAGTAAGAATTAGAATGAGTAGCTTTCCAGCGGTATCTCCTGTGAGACTGTAACCAGGGCACAGCAGCCAATATGGCCGATCAAAGCAGCTTGACTTTACACTGTGTGGGATTGGTGGATTTGTGTGTCCGTCAAGGAAATCTCGGCCGGCAGCCATCATGGTCTGAAATGACCAATGGACATCGAGAAATCACTAAGGGCCTACCCACCAAGTAAACAAAACATAAACCACGTGTCTCCCATCAGTTTAGGTCTGTGAGGAGAGAGAGAGAGACAGATAAAATGGCTAAAAAAAACTTTACAGTTGCCGACTTCGCTAGAGATTTTTTTCGCTAGCAGCAGTGAAGATAGAGCCTCAGAACCTGAAGTCTTCGACTCTTCTGAAGAAGAAGAATACAAAGACAACAACAAGGATCCATTTGGACATGGGTAAGTGTAAATATTACAGTAATAGTGTACTGGCAATGTGTGGGGAATACCGCGAAAATGAACAATAGGTGTATTGATATATATTTTGTATCGATAGTCATGAACTTTTTATTGGGACAAAATAGACTCTTCATTAGCAAACGTTTACTCTGTGTTAACGTTATTTTGGTGTGTAAAAGGGAGATTACATGTGTAGATGATTAAATTAATCATTTATTCGTCCCACAACGGAGACATTTACAGTGACATGTTTTTGCCATCGATTATTTTATCATACTGTTCTGTACAGATGAGACTTTGTCATAGATTTATGTATATGTGTGCCTGTTATTATTTTACCGTCCTGTACAGATGAGACTTTGTAATCAGATGTAGCCTATGTATATGTGTGTCTGTGATTTTATACTGAATGTAAAGTAACTGGAAATACCTGTGTGTGTGAGTGAGTGAGTGAGTCTCCTTCTGCAACCTCCCAAACTTTATTTTGATGTGTGCATTGTTATTTGTACTTGAGCAACATTTTACTTGAACTTTATTTCAATGAAATTAGTTGTCCTACACAGGCGGCGTTTATCCAGCAGCCACAACATCCATCTGTGCCGGCCCCCAGGTCAAGATCTACCGTGGCTCAAGGGCCTTCACCAGAGCCATCACCACCAAGGACCAGCAGACCATCATCACTACAGCTGCCTCCATCTGCGGCTGCCACCAGGTCAAGATACAAACGGCACAAAGGCTCCACCACAGCCATCACCTTCAACCCAGCCAGCAAGGAGGTCTCGTGGAGGTCTCGTATAGCACTTGTACACCCCACCTACACAGCAGCCCATGCACCATCACCCCCACCTACACAGCAGCCAGACCCACTGTCTTGGAAGACAGACAAAGACCTTGACACTGTCTTGACATTTATAATGAATAGTTGGTTGAAAGTTCTGATGTTCAATATTGTAAATAGTGAGATTTTCCAGTTTCTTATATTTATATAAATAGTTGGTTGAAAAAAACATATTTATAAT